AAAATTTGGATATGTTTAACTAGAGTGTATCTCACCCTAGTAAACAACATTTGACTGCGAAGCTGCAATATCCACAGATAGAGCAAGGTGTTTATTACGGTAGCAGATTTTGCTAAAAGTAAAGTTGTCGACGTCTGCACTTATTTGCACCTTACGTGCGTTTTTCTCATCTATTGTGTTCGGCGTCACCGCTCGTACACGTTAGACATGACAAGAAGGGAAAGAGATTCTAGAAGGGCCATCATCTGTATTTTCAGTCGATTTTGAGTTCATACTCTTTGGAATATCTGGAACGTGATCAGATTGCAAGTAATAGTGGTAAAGACACACAACCCACCCACGCTCCAAATATAGAAATTTCGCATGATTAGATCCAGTAAGAAAGGAGTTACGACTGAAAAGAACAACTGAAGAACCATTTCACCGGACTTTTGAGCGCTACTGTATGTAGCTGCCCTCCCTACATTTACCTCATGATTTTTAATAGTAGCTTTACTATCAGTATTAGTATTAGCTTTAATGTTGAGCGAAAAGGGAAAAATAGGGATCGAACCAGTTAAGCCCATTTGGCAGAAAGTTACCGGGCTGCAGAATGTTTTTTGCATGACAGAAATCGATCCCGTTATGTAGGAAGGACAGCGTTTTTTGGTATCGATTCATCTCCGCTTTTAAATGATAGATGATGGTTAGAATCGTCTATGTTGAGCTTTTGGTTGGAGCAGCAGAGCCTCCCATTTAATCATCCCTAAACTTACGGGTATCTACAACTAAAATTATTTTGTCTTTCTCAATGCAGATCATTTAGCTGATGGGAACCAATCAGCGAAAGGCTTTAATATCCGACCAGAGGATGTCGCTCTGATAACGAAAGGACTCGGAGTACTGGGTAAGCTTATCAGTAATTGCCTTTATTCGGAGCTATGGAATCCAATCCAATCTATCTTGTCTTATCGGGACCTTTCGAGATCTTCTGAAAAAAAGTTAGAGAGAGTTTTGTTTTGTCTGCTGGTGATTACCCCCGATTTTACCGCAAGCTCCCTTGAGCAACGCGTTCGGGCTTGGATGACCTCGAGTCCAAGTTTGAGCATTTCGAGATCTCGGTCTTCATCCATTATACTATGGGAAGCCCTAGCGTGAAGTTATGTGCCACGTGAAGTTGAGCGATTCCGATTTTCCTATCTATCGTGTAAAGTAGCTCCAATCCGTTTGATGGCAAAATTCTACTAGACGAAATCGCTAGCAACAAGGGTAATCGGACATTTTATGGCAGAAATGGACCTTTTGGGCTATTCCGTATAAAGAAGGAACCAAAAGAAGCATCCCGGCCCTGTGACATCAACCTCCTTAATCTGTTTTCTAGCGCTAAAGTTGATTCAGTATGATTCGACCGCTCTGACTTTTTTTTGCGTATATTCATGGTTGTACAACTGGCTTTTTCGTGGTACCATTGTACTGCTAAGTAGTTGGAATTAGTGAGCGATGTAGATGTGAACGGTACCAGCCAGAAAACTGTGCATGTAAAGAATGGCCAAGGGAGCCGCTTGCATAGCTCTCTTCCCTTTCAGCGGTTTGATCGTATTCTTCCATGTTTGCACAGTCAAGAGGTCATGAGAGAAGGCTTTACTGCTGTGCTTTACCCTAGTTTGGATGAGAACGGGCGGTCCCTTTTACGTGAGGCTGTCCTATGCAAGGTAGACCATGGCTTCGTTAATTAAAAAAGGATATGATTGTCGTTGGAGCGTCCAAGACGAAATCCGGACCCTCCCGTCAGGGTATCTACTTCTGCGCTGTGACGTACACCAGTTGATTGGTATTTAGTTATTTTCAATTCAGTGAAACCATGACAATCACATTCAGGCACCTATGAATCAGAAATTTTGCGCCTAGAACTCGTGTCTCTCATTTCCTTCTTTAAAAGGCATCTCCTCTTTGACAATATTGTTTGAGAAAACTTATGTATGATGCTTGCTTTTTCAGCTCAGGTAGTTCAGGAACGAACTTCAGCAAAGGGTGCGGAAGGAGAACAAAGTGAGTGCTCGAAACTCTCTTGAAGTGGTTTTCCACTTGAAGAAAATCATTTTAGCTGCCAAGACGGCTTCAAATGACGCAAGGAACCTCCCTCAGGGGCAAGGTGGAGCCGCTGAACAAGGTGAGTGACGAACATAGTGGGTATGGAGCCAGAGTATCTATGTTTTATTTATTTATTTATCATATACGCAATATAAGACAGCGTTGAAAAGGAAAACTTAAACAAACGCCAGCAATACAAAACATTGCGATAGAACAACAAATTCTAAGAAAAAAGGTGGCAGCTATGCTTGCAAAATATTTTTGCCAACTGCCCGTTTGAAGGAGCTCAAAGAGCCTTGAATGCTAGGAGCCTTGCTGGTTTGCAAGTATGCAAGGCTAGCCCTTACGGTGAGAAAGTTTCTTTTTATGGTTGTTTTGGGCCTAGAAAAGGATAATTTGAGCTGAGTACCCCTTGTTTTGGAAGGAATTTGAGAGTAGAAATCGAAAAATTAACCGAGGTTTTGCCTATCAGTAAGTTCAAGGGTCTGCTTCTGAGGCTTCAACCCGTAACTTTGTAAATCGTCCTTGAAATCACTTCCTTGAACACTGTCATGTTTATCGCGTTATATGTCACTTAATAGTGTTGTTGTTATTTAGTAGGAGTAGTAGTAGTAGTAGTGGCGTTGTAGAGGCTCCGGCTCGGAGTTGTCATACAACCTGTTTGATCACGCCCACCTTCCAAACTCCGCCCTTCAGTCGAACACGGCTCAAAACCACCCCGATGGGCGCTGTCCTAGAAAAAGGCATGTAGTTCCTTCCACCCTGCAATAATGAAGGAAGAGTTATTGTCGGGAAAGGTCCGTGGCTAAAATCTCCAAGAAATTATCGGAAATATGGCTATGCTCTACAAGGTTTCATTGCTCTGCGTTACGCATTCACCTTCTACCTCCCTATGCCTTGTACTCTACTTCGTTAAATCGCTAGGGTAATCTTTGATTGACTCCTTTGAATTAACCTAAACCTCCTTCTTAGTCCCTTAACATAACTTTTTTCGGAGCTAAATTGCTGCCTTTGGGATGTGCGAAGTAGTGGCTATTTGGGACTGTCGACGGCATTCCTCTTTAGAGGATTGCTTTTAATTGTCAACATGCACTATGTGTTGTTTTCTATCCAGTTCCACCCTAAACATTGGGCCTCATTACGCATGGCTGCCATGTGAGGGAGATTTCGGAAACAGCATAGCTGGAGGGATCTTTCTCTGCTTTTTGTGGGTCCGGGAACATCTCCCCGAAGACGGCGTCGCGCACGCCGCACCCGCCGCGTATCGCAGGATTGCGAAGGAAGATTGGAGCGCACAATTTGTGAGGTAGGGAGTCCTTTAATAATTTGAAATGGCTGACCGCTCCTTTCAGTTCCTCGCTCGTCGATCGTCGCTAATATAGGAGAAGTAATTCAAATTAAACAAGTCTAATATACATAAAAACAAGAAAAAGAAAGATAAAAAACGATCAAAACCAATAAAAAAGGAAGGCAACCAACGAAAAATATTGTGTCATATCGAATGGCGGGGGGCTGGGTGAGTACGGTAATTGCAGTGACATTTGCCGTATGCCGCAAGGGAGAATGCCGCAATCGGGTAAAAGTTCCGTTACCCGCTTTTTGTGCACCTGTCCTTTTTCCAGGCACCTACCAGCTTTCAAGAAACTAATGATATCTAAGTACAATAGGGATCAAATACTTGTGGTTGACAGTTTACTTAGTCACTCGAAGGCCCTTCAACTAGTTCCTTTAGTGTCCACTAAGAGTATCTTGCATGTGGAGCACATAAAAGTAGACAACCTATGTTGTGGGCCTTGCCTATAGCCCCCGTCTGGGAAGTAAAAGGTTGATGGTTTCACAGTTTTCCCATTACTTTTCAGCGGTGCTCCCAGTTCACGATGGGCGCGCTGAGTTGTCTTTTCTGTTGACGGCATGCGATAGGAGCGATTACTGTGTCAATTAGCGTACTGTTGAATCTATTTGTGATGTAAAAAACTTTAATCCGGCCATCAACTTTGTGTAGTGTTGGCATTGCCAATACTACAACTTTATTCAGGTTTTACTGTACGGGATGGGCCAACTTTATAATGACAGCATGCGCGGTAATGAACAATACAACTGGTATATCTCTCTGTTAGGACTTTGAATGTCTATGATCAACCGCGAATAGGAAGGGTAAGGGTGGAAGTCTCGGGATACATCCAGGAAGAGTGCCAAGAGAGCAGGCAAAAGTCATCACCCACTTCATGAAGGAAAATTAATGGTGAAGCGAACTCAACATTTTGACAAGGGGAGTTTCTGGTGCCAAATAAACAAATTCGAAGGGCCGGAAGGGCTCGAGTGTTCTGGGAGGGTATTGATTCTTGAACTATGCGGGTGGTAGCGCGTCACTTGCCATTAATCCACCTTCGCTCGAAAGTCTAATCTAATTGATATACTCACTTAAACACCTGAGTAGGAGTCATTTGTGCTTCCTCTTTCATCTAAAAATAACTTATAGTTCGCATTTTAGGTGGAGATTTTCTGGGTGGTCTTATGAACATGGTCAAAGAGTTCGGTAATGCCAATAAGCAAGGTTAGTGGCTTCGTTGCAGGAGCTTATGAACTCTAAGTAGAACAAGTAGTAAGAAGATTTCAGAATCTCAAGGTACATCGCAGCTGAGTCAAGAGGATATCGCCAGAATCACGGCTGGTCTCGGAACACTCGGTGGGCTAGTTCGAAAGTCGCCTCATCTATACATTTAGAACTTCCTCAGGAAGTGGAAACGGAAGAAACTGATAGTAGGTATGACCTGTGCTTTTGTTCAATGTCAGCAATTTCAGCAACAACACTCAAGGAAAAAGCTTTTGGTGGTGGCGCTGTTGACGAGGAAGCAGGTCTGCCTGTGAAAGTTTTTATGTACTTCTACAACAAGTTTATTTTGGCATGATTTCAGTGACGAAATTGGATGCACAAGGAGGAAAAGTCCAAGTATCATCTGTGGTTGAGAAACCATCGGCTGCAAGCACGGAGCAACCCCCAGCAGCAGGTATGGTGTGGTTCTTTGGCTGCATTCGTCATGCTTTTCTTTCGTTCTTAGAGGAAATAATCTGCTCTGGGATTCGTTCTGGCAAAGCCTAGCGCTGGGTGAGAACCTTGGCAAGCACTCAGTTCGAATATCGCACCAACCTGCTTGGTCGTCTTGACCTGTAGCTATCATTAGACAAATCTGATTTATTCACGTATGTCTTCGTGACATACACCGTCAGTCGTTATTGCTTCATGCTTATGGAAGATTAGATCCCCTTGACTCGAAGTCCTCGGATCTTGTGATACAGTCAGCCGGGCCGTGGGTCCTGGTTTGAATGTCTGCTCATAGCCCAAGTTCCGGATATCCATTCAGCCTGGGGCCTGCCCAAAATTTTTCATTGTGTCCTATTAGGGAAAGGTCGTCCCTGCATCTAGTGTCTTTTCTACCTCGCTGGCTATGATTACTGTATCACAAAATCCTCGGACTACGAGATCTGTCTTGTCTCGTTTCAAAGACCTCCTCTCCAGTTCTTACCGCGTGCTGTTGTTTCGACCCCCTTCCCCTCACGCATTTCGCTTTCGTTCAAAATCGTAAGGGGCTCATAAAAGCTTGTTTTGCCTATACATTGACTCGCAACGGCAAGCCAATGCATATTGCTCCCAGATGAATCTGCCCCTTACAATAAATCGCCTCCAGAGGAAAGGAGTACATGCTGTCCTTGGTAGGGTAGCTGGTATTGCGGTCGGAATTCGAATAAATCCCCAGTCACGCGTGCGGTGGTGTGCTACTTGTCACTACATCATCTCCTCCGATACCGTAATCATCAAAACTGTCGTTGTTGTTTATTTCTTTACCTGCCAAGACACATTTAGGTTGTTTCAGAGTATCATTCAGTTTGTTTGCCGTATTTGTGGTCGTCGATCACCTGATTTCTCGTTTTAATGACGTGTTTCTTGATTCTTGGTTCTCTAACCAGTCGGCCTCGTCATTTAGCCACTGCGCCAGCTCTCTCTGCATTTTTTTCGTTAAGTTAGCAGACCTAACGCTCTTCGTCCTTACCGCAAGCATAACGTTTTCATCCTAATAACGCACGTATCCCTTCGTTCAAGGTGGTGTGGGCTCTCACTGCAGTAGCACCCTGTGGCTTGTTTTGCGATGAAGCGCCGATCGCTAATTACATATCCTAATTGTACATGGTTACGAAAAACAGTTTCAAAAGTTTTAAAATAGAAATGGAAAGTCCGAGTTACGTTGTACGTACGCGTGCGGTCGCGCGCGGCAGTAGGTAACCGTCGGATAGATACATGTGCTGTCATGTCTGCAGCCTCGTGTGTTGTTGATGTTGATGTCAGAATCTTTCTCGAAACCAATTGTTCTCTACCATAATAAGGTCTAATTGCCCTGATTGATGCGCGTAAAATCAATATTCATGCAACAACCCTTGTCTAACCAATGATAGCAGCCACACGGATTCATGTGTGAGAACGCCTTGTTCTTCCGGGTTTCGTGGTTCATTTGATTTACTTTGTATTCATATTATATCCGCTTTAAATGTTCTCTTACTTTCATATTTCCTTAGTTTTACACGTATTCTATTTATACCGATACTCTTTTTTCATCATTCCCTTTTAATTTGGTTTTCATTGCTAAAGTGCTTGATTATTTCGAATTTTGATTATTTATGTTTGCCTCAAAATTTTGGTTATTTTTGTTTGTTTTGTTTGCAAACTGAAAAATCGAAGATGTCTCAATGAAAATTTTTTCCTTAGGTGGTGACTTCTTAAGCGGACTAATGAACGTTGCTAAAGACGTTGGAAAAGCACTCGGAGAGCAGAATCAGACCCGTCCAGCTGCTAACACTTCAGGTATCACTGCTCTGAAACCCTTTTTATGGTTTGATTTTGAGTTTCTGAGTTATAAGACCCCACTCGAAAAACATTTTCACCATCTCACATTACAAGTAAAATGGATAAAAGGCAATATAAATTCAGGTAAATATATGTATGTTACGTTATTTTCAGGCAATACGGCACAACAAGGTGGATCACAGCTAAGTCCTGAGGATATAGCCAGGATTACGGCTGGTCTCGGATCGCTCGGTGAGTTACAGTTTAGATTTTGTTTGCTTGGCCAATGGTCTTTTTTTGATTCGGAGTACAAGTACAAGAATCCCCTGGGGACAAGTTGGACGAGATTCACCAGTGGACGAGTTGTCCATGACAAAACCGACCCTCTCTTTAGTCTTCGAATTGTTTCCCAATGTCTAAGCTCTCGCCATAGATAGCAGGAGCAATAATATGAAGCGCATGGGATATCTTCTCACGAAAATACCTATGGACGGGATTTTTCAGGGGACTAGTTGGTCGAGATTCACAAGTGGCCGAGTTGTCATTGAGAAAGCCAACCCTCTCTTTAGTCTTCGAACAGGACCAACCCTTTTTGAATTCTTGAAATTAGTTCCCAATGCTTCGGCAATCGCAACTGCAGAAGATTTCATGCAGAGCGGAGGGGAAGGTGTACTTACTGGTTTATCGGCTATCTACCCTTCCAATCACCGATAGTAGGACTTTTTCCTTTGCTCTGCCCCAGTGATTGTTTTAGTGGATACAATCAAAACGAAGGCTTTCAAGAAGGATGAGGAGCAAGAAGAAAAGGGTAAGCCCGTCAATCACCTTCTGTGACATTGTTTTCAATAGTTTCATGTGACTTTTTAGCCACCAAGGTTGATTCCCAGGACACCAAGGTTGATTCGCAGATTTCACATGGCCCCAAGCCTATGTCCTTACTCGATAGAGCCGATGCACAAGGTACGAACCTAATTTAAATGAATTGAATAGTGGTTTTCCCTTCAAACCCAATTTGCCTAATTGTAGTTTCGTTTCAGCTGAACAAACGCTAAAAGAGGATACTCCAGGTCATCATTTTTGCTATATATCAAGTGAAGGTTCAGTGTCTGTCTGTCTGTCTGTCTGTCTGTCCGTCTGTCTGTCTGTCTGTCTGTCTGTCTGTCTGTCTGTCTGTCTGTCTGTCTGTCTGCCTGTCTGATCGTTTGCTTTCGTGTTTGCATATCGATTTACTAATAGTTGAGTCTGAATGGTGTGGGTGTTATGATAGGACAGTCTTGGTCTCTTGGTCTTGAGCAAGGGTCAGTTCTGAAGCTGATCGCAGGAAATTGTACCCATGGAAACCAGAGTGGCTCAACATCGAACCGAACTTTCCGTAATGTTGGGCTATCGATGGATTCGGATTGAAGTTACCGCACTTTTCTAACACGATGAACAGGGCCGAGTGAGACGGTGCCAAATGGGGTGTTGCCGTACGTATGGGCATGGGATTAAGGAGCCCGATGTTCGCTCGGGGTCCATCAGATTACCGAGTGAGGACACATTCAACAGCGGTTTGATCACTGCCAGAAAACTTTACCTTTTTCTCAACGTGGAAGCGTGAAAATCTGGGATTTTTGGTGTCTTTGTGTCAGCAAGCTTGTTCAGACAACCTGAAACATAGCCGTTTTTCAGACTTCCTCAGCGGGCTGTTGAGCGTTGCTAAAGACGTGGGCAAAGCAGTGGAAAAGAATCAGTCCGGATCAGCTGCTAATGCTTCAGGTAAGTTAGAAGTGATCTCTAAGCAGTAGACATGTAAGAAGGATCTCGCCAAGAAGATTCAATGGTGGAAATTAATTTCATCATCCCGTCTAGTCGATTTTTTCAATCCCTCANTGTTCAGACAACCTGAAACATAGCCGTTTTTCAGACTTCCTCAGCGGGCTGTTGAGCGTTGCCAAAGACGTGGGCAAAGCAGTGGAAAAGAATCAGTCCGGATCAGCTGCCAATGCTTCAGGTAAGGTAGAAGTGTTTTCTAAGCAGTAGACATGTTGGAAGGATCTCGCCAAGGAGATTCAATGGTGGAAATTAATTTCATCATCCCGTCTAGTCGATTTTTTCAATCCCTCAGAGCCATAGAACTTGCCCTTGAAAAGGAAAAATCAGCAGCATCATCTCGTGGCCCCTCATGTCATATCCTGGTGAAGGACCCCGAGGAAAAGTCAAATTCATCTCGCACCTTAGTGATTTAACAAACTTTGGTTTTTTCAGCCAATCCTCTTGACCTCTATCATGTCATGGTCTACTGGACCCTTAAGGTTTTCATTAGTGCTGTGCGCATTTGGATTTTTTAGTTAGTAAAGGGCAATACCAAGGGAAGTGAGCCATTCAGTCGCCCACATTTCCTAGTACCTAAATGAGTACCGATTTTGGTAACTTAAAAGCCCCTGAACCCGAGGAAGTTGATATTGTTTTCAAAATTCGCGCACTGGGCCTGCTTCTTTTACAAAGCACATAGGTCCGGTCCATTGCGCTCATTAGTTACATATTACGATGCTCGGAATTCAGTGAACACACTGTGTTTTCCTTCTGAATCCTTTTTTTTTTGAATTCTACCGTGCTCCCCCACCCCCTCCCCCTCCTCTAATGCTGTATTCATATCAATACTTCCGAATTTCTGATTTTTACTTAACATCACTCAACTCTGTTTGTTTTCAGGATCGGCTGGAAGTGGCAGTCAAGGCGGTGCGCAGTTGAGTCAAGAGGATATTGCAAAACTGACTGCGGGACTCGGATCGCTTGGTGCGTCTGTACCCTGAAAGGTCCTACTGGATGGTTACCATAGATAGTAATGTTTCAGTTGGTGCTATTCAAGGAAAAGCGACGGATTACTTCCAGAAAAAGCCAGCTGAAGGTTAGTTCTTAATTTGGGCACTGCAGCATCTGGAAATAAATGAAGTATGGCAGTTATGCCATTTCCACATTTACGATTCATGAATGGTTAAACTCCTTCATTCAGTTCCAATAAAGCGGAAGTAGGTTCATCGAGGAATTCCTAGGGGACTGATTGAGGGCCTATTTTCGTGTCCAAATCCTCTTTCAAGTACTTTTCTGACTTCTGACTGGAAGCCGATTGCATGGCGCTCTTTGAAAAAAGATAAAACTGCTCAAAATCTTACCTCTTGTTTGTATATAGTGTGACCTACAAATTGGAGAATGTACGGGTGATCCGTGATGGTTACGTTAGCGTGGTAGTTCCGGAGTAGAAAGGCCAAAATGCCAATATGTGAAAAATCCTTGCATCTGGTGAAGTTTTCTGTTGTCCTCAACCAGTACGGCCATCCGGAGACTTTAGGAAAAACCGTGCGTGTNGTCCGGGAATGACCGACAAATGTCTTGGTTTTGTTCATTTCCACCCGACTCGATTCATCTCGATTTAATTTCAGAAGAAAACAAGCCAAAGGATGAGCCAGTAATCGATGACGTTGAGGAACAAAGTAGGTTTATTTTTTCCTGTTTTCCTTATTTTTTATCATAATTTTCTCCCAAAACTCGGTATTTAAATACTTTTATTGAACGTTCCAGTCTTCTTTTCCCCAACATCGTTTCCACCATTTTCGGACCCCGTTAACTCCTTCCTTCTGCAACTCCTTCCATTCATAGAGAGCCCGACATCAATAACTGGTGCTGAAGCTCTACTAGGATTGACAAAGTTAGACCGTAGAAAGCCTAGTATCTGATTTCTGCAAGGGGGACTACCTGCATGGGTGTGGGTGTATAGTGATTCATGCTCTGGACCTATCTGTGAGATCTTGTCCCCATAGGTTGTGCCGCGTTTGTCGCAGAACGTACAGTGTAAGGGTAATATTTCGATTCTCAGTGGATGATTTCGATAACTGCGGAACCACTGCCGTGGGCGTGCCACCGTGTTGATTTTGGTGAAGGCGGAGGTGGTGTAGTGCCAAGTGGCGCACCATCACACACGCATGGTCACGAGTTCGAATCCCGGACCGATATGCGCCTAGGTGAACCGACCCCTCCATCCTTTCGGGGACGCTTGATTGGTACCAGTCTCGTCAGAGTAAATAAAACCACTAACGTGTACATTGGCTGGTCACCGCATGTCATTGTATAGGCCACATAAGCACGCGCCACTGCGATTCCAAGTGGAAGTCTAATGGGCGCATCCCTCAGGCGGGACTAATCAACACCTGAAGACTTGATCCTTTATCCTTAATCATTCAAAAGAAGGCCTTTTGCATGCTGTATCATTTTTTGTGTTGTTTTATTTATTTTTACAGTTGGTAAAGTGGTTCTTCCTGGTTATACCGGATATAAAGACAGTTCGACCGTATCGAAGCCGAAGACAACCTGATGGGCGACGTCTGTCGAATTCACCATATCTTCGCTTCGTTACATTTCGCATACCTATTCAATTTCAATAAACTGTACAAAATGTAAAATCATGCTCTGTCTTAAACTTCATATTGTAAGTCTGTTTTTCTAGGATTATGAGGGCCCTCTACCACCATTACCCGCCGGTGGCTCATTCTCGTCCGGAGATTACCGTCAACTGAACAACATAAGATCAATGGAAGAAAAGGGAAAGCAAGAACAACCCCATGAATAGCATGTCGCGAACGATGGTGGGCAACGAAGAGCTGGCCCGGCAGGTATGGAGAGAGTCGGTCGGGATGAAGCTTTCTCGACAGGCGAAAAGCGATCTGATTAGGACAATTCTCGAGCAGGAAGAAAGCGCTCCCTCTCCAAACGCGAAGATATGGGAGCTGTTCCCTAATTGTCGAAGAGTACGTCAAGGAGGGACCAAACAATGATCGAATCTTGCTCGATTCGAACAGCATTCATTAGGCTACCATCGAGAGTAGCTCAATCATGAGTTATGTCATTTTGGTTTTGAGAATCACCTGAGTAGAATAAATTAGCTGTAAGTGAGGAATTCAGGTCAAAAGTTCGTTTGGGAATCCTTAGTGCACTGTTGGCCAGAATGCTTTCTGAGAGTCGGACTGGGTCGAATTTTAGGGATATATTTATATTGTAAACAGAATTGTGAACTCTACAACTTTTCTCAATCTACGGACGCCCTCTTGAATCGCCAGCAGCTTGTTCAGTGTGGACGGCTCGGGATTATCTTCCTGGATCAGTCCCTTGTAAGGGAAGGAGGTCTGAAATAATACCACCGTTTAACAAGGGAGTACAGCGGCAAGCTGTACTGTTCAGAAGTGTTCTGATGCATCGAAAAGGCTTTCTATGCCTACGACTCTCGGGCTTTCGAGTATTACTCTGACTCTTTCGTGCCGTGGTGGCCTCCGTTCAAGAAGTTTCCGTGCCAGCCGGGCAACTATTGATGACAAGCTCAATCCCGTTTTCGGAAGTTATTAACCAGCTAGTAAGAATAGTTGTAATTGTACGAATTGTTGATCTAGTTGATATTTGGTGGTCACAATCGGGTACCACCCGATGAGGCCGCCCATGACCATTGATTTCTCGCCCTACATGAGTGGCGGCGGCTTTTGTTTCTTTCTTTTCCTTTGTTTCTTCTCTATCAGTTATTTTTTTTGAATCTTGCGCATATCTCTCCACGATCTCTCACTTGTGGTTATCTTTTTGAAACTGAGTAGACCAGTTTTTTTAATGTATGGATTAAGAACGAACTATATTTGTAAACATTGCGGGAGGACACTTTTTTACTCTTCTATCCCAGTTCTCTCAGTCCACAACTCTGAAAAATGTTCTTCAAGAGTGATCATTGCTGATATACCACTGGAATCATCACTACCAGGACAAAGTTTGAGTGCAAAATCTGTTCCTCTTGGACTACCGGAATGAAGCCCTCATTGTAGTCTTGGATTGAAGTTCGTGCTTGACGATTCAAAAGTAGCTCATCGTTTTATGAAACTATATTTTATCCAGTAGCATAGTTGCATTTTGTTGTCCCTAACCACAACAAGGATAGAATACCCTAACGACCCTATAGGCTCTTGGACCTTCCATTCTCTTCCTCATTCTTTGAGTACTCCTTTTGCCTTTACGACCTTTTGATCGGTCTGTACGCACCTCTGTTTCAAAATTTCTGATTGCACGGTTCTGTCTTTTTGAATTTCTCATTAGTCGCAAAAAAAGCGCCTAGCGGACTTACTCTGAAAATCTCCCCCACGATTCCTCCACAAACTCACTCAGAATGTAGGGTTGATGGCTCCGCTTTGAAGTAATGCTACGGTACAGAGCTCTACTCGTCCATGATGTACAAATGAAGGGTCGTTTCATCACAGAAATTGGCTCCCATCCAAGAACATATGAAGAGGATTGGCGAAAAACGAAATCGAGGGCCTAACGTATGCCATCTCTATAGCTTGAGAGTTTTCTATTAAAGGCACAGTTCACGATAATTTCTAGGTACCTCTTTTAGGTTCAAAAGCAAAAGTGTTGATGTAGAGGAGCACATCGGTAGCGAAGAAAGCGAGAAAATCCGCCTCCTTCGAGGAAGTAGTGTAGGTGGGGGTTGTACGTGATCACCGCGACAGGAATGGCAACAGAATTGCCTTTCACTGTCGCTATGGGTCGCAGCAGGTTGTTTGAACATCCTACGTGGGAGTCCCCTGAGATAGAGCAGCCTCTACAAAGCTGTTGAACTGTACATTCTCTGGCCCCTTATAGTGCCCTATCTAGGACGTTTCTCGACCTCATAACAGCAGACAGGGAGCCTAGAATTAATACCATAGGAGAATCTCAGAAACCATTCTTATCGTAAACTGTGCCTTCAAAGACAGACCGTGATAGCTGGCTTGGACTGAATTGAAGTTGATTGTAGAATCATGACTATGGAAAACCTAAAACGCCCCGCCCAGTTCGGTGACCTAGAATCTTCACATGAGGCGTTTTATTCTCATACCTACTGAGCACTTAGCACATGGTTGTAAACGGCTCTCTAATGGTTCCAATTCGGCGTTTTTCACGTAAAAACTCCTTTTCGCAGAAAATATTATCTGGCTTTCCACCGCCTGATCTGCATGCGATGTTGTAGTGGTTTGATGTGAGAACTGGAAAAGTTAGGCATTCGAAGTACAAGCTCATTACCGTCGTTGCTGTACATAGTTCCGGCTGAGCAGGGTTGGAGTAGCGGTGTCATTGTAATCTCCTACGGTACAGGCTCGGGTTCACCTCTCGGCTTGTGCAGAACCTTGCAATTTTGTGATTCCTTTGAGCCTAATGAGATTTTGAGATCAGAAAAAACTGTTGGTAGTTCTAAAGTCTGAACTTCGGTCTAGCCCACAGGTTTACCGCTATAATCACGGGATATCGATGCGTACCTAGACGTGGAAATGTAAACATGTGGGTTCGGAAAACAGGAGACTAGTGGTCGTTCTGTGTGGTGAATTCGGTCGCACAGAGGGGTCTCTCGTCCGAATCCCGGAGAATCTTCACAAAAACAGGAGGGGTAAAAAAAATAGGTGTTCTTTGGCGGTCTTGAAACAGATTGATTTTTAGCGATTTTAGCGGAAGACCCCCCGGCACGACCAAAGTTCACCACACAGAGCGACCACTGGTCGGTTGAGTTGCTAACCCTTCCGTGACATTCTTTCTCTTCCCTTGCACTCACTATTTTCACTTACATAGAAGTTGCTCGAGTATCTATCAAACGGAATACCCATTCTTTAGTCTACCCATGCCGTTTCATGGGCAGCAGGACGTGTGAGGTAAAGTGTGTATATCTGAAGCCAATAAAAGGATTCTCGGTATGCTGAAATTATTAACGTTCTTTGCCTGTTTTTATGATTTTAACTACGGTGAACTTTA